AAAGAGTTGTGAAGGATGGATTTATTAATTTTATTGTCTATATATATATATATTAAAAAGGTACTTTTGTGAGGCAAATTTGTAAATATTACTACAAGCTAAATGGTTATCTTGTCATCTCTATAAGGGGTAAAATTAAAATTTTAACTAAAGGACAAAGGCGCTCTACAAATAAAGTTCCAGGACACTAACTTTTAAAATGTCATTGTACTTTTGTAAAAATTTTAAATTTTCTCTTGCTTAATGGTAAAGTTACCTGTTTAAATAATTTTTTAATAAAAAAGTAAATATTGTTTTGATAAATATACCCATCACAACCCCTTCTAATTTGAACCTTTGTATATTGAGAGGTTGTTAACTTTAGACAAACCCTATATATATATATATTGAAAAATGTTTCATGTTTTGTTCACTTAAACTCTTCTTGATCAATTTTATCTCAAATTGTTCTTCTCCTATCCCCTTTTTATAAACTTTAGGACCAAACTTACTTTATGGTAAAAAAAAACTCATCATTTGATTAGGATTGATTTTCTCGACCCAAAATCTTGTTTTCTTAACTACTCTCCTTATTTCACTAAATTAATTCAAACTCCATAAAATATTTTTTTGGTGTCAATCATCTCGATATTGAGTTGTATGAAATGAAAAAAAAAAAATTTGAATCCAAAAAATAGTACATCTTGCAACATATTATCTTGATTGTTTATTTTCAAGATTTCCATGTATCTATGTGATTTGAATAATTTTTTAAGTTTAAAATTTTATAGTTAGAGATGGAAATACATTCTCAAGCAATCTTAAGAATTTGTTGCACCAAAATTACATCTTATGATAGAATTTAAATGTGCGCCTTATTTTGGTTGCTTACGGTTGCAACCGAACCACACACATATGTATTGAAAAATATTTCATGCTTCACCCACTTGAAATATTTTTTATCAAATTTTCTCAAATTGATCTTCTCCTAACCTCCTTTCATAAATTTTAGAACCAAACTTACTTTCTTGTAGAAAAAAACTCATCATTTGAGTATGATTGATTCTCTCAACCCAAAATCCTGTTTTCTTAACTACTCTCTTTATTTTACTAAATTGATTCAAACTAATCCTCTTGTAGATATTCAATATGCGTGTTACTTTGTTTAATGAATATGTTTTACCTACTTGAACTCTTTTTTGAACTTCTCCTAGTCCCCTTTCATAAACTTTAGGACCAAATTTAATTTCTGGTAAAAAAAAAAATTTGTCATTTGAGTAGGATTGATTCTCTCAACCTAAAATCTGGTTTTCTTAACTACTCTCTTTATTTCACTAAATTGATTCAAACTAATCCTCTTGTAGATCTTCAATATCCTTGTACTTTTTTTAATTAAATGATTCATTAATTTGAACTTTGATCTATGTTGGAAACTAGGGTTTGGGTGAAATATTTATAGAAAAACAATCAAATCTTGATTAGATATAAAAATCTCAAACTGTTGAAGAGAAAAGATTAAATAAGATAGTAGCGCTAATTTAAATCAATTTAATCGAAGTAATTTTTCAACAGGATGGAATTGATCTTTTCCAACGTCTTTTTTTCAAAAGAACCTTTTCAATATCAGTTTTCAATATGTTAAAAAATGATCAGCTTTTGCAATCCATTTTCAATTGATCCTATTATTGAAATGCCCAATATGCTTTTTGATAGATTTCATCATGGTTTTTCATTTTATTGAATGAAAACTGATCTTTTGCAACTTATACTTTTTTCTCTTTTTTTCTATTATTTGATTTTTTTCAGCGGAATAGGCTGCTCCAAATCAAAGCTGACCAATCTAATTGGAGCTAGTGGGTGACTGGTTTGATCTTTTAAACATGGACTTAAACAAGTAGAATGTCATGAAGAAAAGTGAAACATGGCTCCATAACAATAAACACATGCCTGCTTTATATAGGAAAAGTATACAATGAGATCATTTATATTTGGTACAAGGTGATCACAATTAATCTTGAACATTGGATGTGAAATTAGATAGCTGCATTTATTCAATTGACCAAACTCAAACTTCAAAACAAATTTTCTTAAAGTTTGTGATACACCTAAGCTTTCAGATTTCATATTGGAGGATTGTAAGCAATTGGGATCTCCACAATTAATCTTGAACATTGGATGTGAAATTAGATGGCTGCATTTATTCAATTGACCAAACTCAAACTTCAAAACAAATTTTCTTAAAGTTTGTGATACACTTAAGCTTTCAGATTTCATATTGGAGGATTGTAAGCAATTGGGATCTCCTTGTACTAAATGTAAATAATCTTATTGCATACGTACCCATTTATAAAATAGTGCATAGCATTTTATTGGTTCGTACATTTATGGTGTTTTGATGTGGCTGGGTTTCCTCCTAATAGATTAAGTTTTTGCAGTCCCATTGAACCACATTGTATACTTGTTTGAGGGTAGAACTCCATGAGTGCGGGATGACCAAAACATTCAGATCATCTTTGTTCATCTCTAAAATAAAAAGGTGTGGTTTGTATAGAGCTTAGGCTCTAAACAATCAAATTAGAGTCTACCTTCAAGTAGTGTCGAGAAATATGGTTTTAATACTAGAAATCTTTGCGATAGCCTTAAAATATATTTTCGTCTTTATTTATAAAGTTTAAATCTTAAAAAATAATGTAGATCAATAGATCTATGAAAACTTGAAAATCTTAAAAATTGACGGTCCAAAAATGCATTATAAATTACACTATTTCTAAAACTTGAAATCAATTTTTTCTCATGTCCATGCATCTTGATGTTGAGATGATCAAGTTGAGGATATTTGGGCATCAAAACTCTTCCAGTGAAAGTTTTGTGGCAGGCTCTAATTTGATTGTTTAGAGCCTTGGCCCTATATAAACTTTTCCTAAAATAAAAAAAAAACAGATCATCTTTGTTCATCTCTAAAATAAAAAAAAACTATTCATTTGAAGCTCAAAAACACGCTCCAAATCAATAGCCGCCACTTCAGCAGTCTTTGTTTGACTAGCGATCACGTCTGGTTTCTTAGTAAGAGCTCAATCTCATTTTATTTTATTTTTGTCATTTTGTTCTAAAAAATGATTTGCAGACTTTCATATCAAAAGATCCTGTTAAGTGGATGTTTGGTGTTTTGGTGGGGCACATAATCAAGTATAAGTTATTGCACGCGAGCACAAGCACATTAAAAGTGCCCGTAGTTCATTGAGGGTGAGGTTTGTATAAGGTATCCACTTTAAATTATAGAAGCACACTTCTAAATTTTACCTGTCCTAAGTTGAGGTGTCAAAAATCTTGCAATGACTTGAAAATCCATATTCAAAATTTAAAAGTTTAAAAACCATGTAGATCGAGTAGATAAATAAACACTTTCAAAATTTTGAAAATAGATGGTCTTAATAACTTACTATAAGGCTTGAAATTCTTTTTGTTTTTTTTTTAAGCCCATATATCTAGAGATCATGATGATCAATTGAATGACTTTTCAACTTCAAAACCCTATTTTTTATAAAAAATTTTGAAATACATGTGCTGTTGCAACTTTGTTTTCAATATCTGACGTCGATAATCTAAGACAATAGAGAGATTGAGGAAGATGTTACACATAAAATTAGAGCTGGTGGATAAAATGGAGATGTGCATGTGAAGTTTTATGTGATCGCCGCATACTATAAGATTGAAAGAGAAGTTCTATAAGATGACTAATTCCGACCATACTCTAGAGGATAAAATGTTGAACTATTAAAAATCAACATATTCATAGGATAAACATGGCTGAGATAAGTATATTAAGAAAAAACATATACGAGGAAACTTAAGTGTAGTTTCAATAGACGATAATATGAAAGAAAATAGACTTAGGTCCTCATTATATGCAGTGTAGACTTAATATAACATCTGTTAGGAAGTGCTTCTTGATTCAAGTGGAAGGCTATACAAGGGAAAGAGAAATACCTAAAAAGACATGGATAGATGTAGAGAAAAAATATTTGATCACTTTCAGTTTTACTAAGAGTATGACTCTTAATAGAAAAGAACATAGAAACATAATTCATGTAGTTGACTTTAAGTAATTGAGATAATACTTGAATGATGAAAATAACAGTAATGATGTACAGTTGCAACCTTATTTCCCCATTTACGTCTCTCTCTTTCTCTAGACTCATCTCTATTCACCTCCGATAAGTCCAAAAAACGCATAGGGAAAATATAAAGAAGAAATTTTCATTATATAAATGCTGGTGACGTACCTTAAATATAATGTATGCATAAATCCTTGTTCAGGGATCGGTCACGAATAATCATTTAGAAGAATAGAGCATTATAACAAGACATAAGAATATTACAATGCACAAAGGACCATTTGGGTCTTTTTACATCCTTGAATAGCCCCTATGGTGTTCATATTGCTCCATGAACTCATCATTAAATTTCTTAAAGCTGGCCATTATTTCAGGCATGTCCTGTTCAGCAGGTAAAATGGTTGTTCTCAAGTGGAAAACCCTGCACGCATAGAATGGCTCATTAACCCTAAAAAATGGGGAGGGGCATAAAAGAGCACTAAAGATGGTCCAAAATCCCACAAATACTGGAAAATTTTGACCAATCCAAAAAAATGGTTTTTTTTCGTTACAGTGATGAGATATGGGTATTTTTAAATCATAGAACAATTTGAGAAAATTATGTTCAAGGAGTCGAAGCTTTTTACAAAATCATTAAAGGAGTCGAAAAAATTTCAAGTAACATTAGAGAGTTTACCTTTTAATTTTCATTTCACAGGGTACCTCCCAAAATATATATTCAAAAATACCTGAATTGCCCTTATTCAGGGCTAGGAAACTTAATCAAGCAAGAGGCATTTTTGTAATAGGACCTACTTTGACGTACAAGGTACTCCAGTCATTTAGTCATGGCAAATGGGTCAAATTACTAAATTCCTCGTACTTGTTTAGGGTTCGCAAGTTGAGCATTTTTGAGGGTTTTTTTTTTTTCATAGGTATCTTAGTAGAATGAAAATTAAAAAGTAAACTCTCTCATGTTAATTAGAATGTTTGGCCCGCGTAATGATTTTGCAAAGGGTTTTGATCCCTTATAGATACTTTCGTAAGAGTAGTTTCCTTCAGTGGTTTGCCTCCTATTCAAAATGAAAAATGGAGGCTGTATCATCTCACAAACCATCTAGGATATTTGACAGGTTAGACGTGAAACAACCAATTAAAAGAAGTAAAGCTTTCTGCTTACCCTTCTTTTTGGCCAAAACCCGACCCTGGAACTGTGGAAATGCCTGTCGCTTCCAGCAACTTCAAACAATAAAACACATCTGGGACCTTTCCAGCCCTCTTTGCGGCTTCAATTGCCTTAGGGGGTAAGCGTATTTGTGGGAATGAATACATGGCCCCTGAAAGACAAACTTCATAGTTAGCTATTTTCACGAGAGAGAGAGAGAGAGAGAGAGAGAGAGAGAGAGAGAGAGAGAGAGAGAGAGAGAGAGAGAGAGAGAGAGAGAGAGAGAGAGAGAGAGAGAGAGAGAGTAGAGAGAGTAGAGAGTAGTAGAGAGTAGTAGTAGTAGTAGTAGAGTAGTACGTAGACGTACGTAGTAGTAGTAG